TGACTCTCCTACCTTTCTCTTATAAGGACCCTTGTGATAACATTGGGACCACCTAGATAATCCAGGATAACCTCCCCATCTCAAGGTATTTATATTAATCACATCTGCAGTGCCCCTTTGGCCATGAACGCTAATTTATTCACAGGTCCTGGGGATTTGAACGAGGACTGACATCAGTGGTCATTCTCCCTACCTCTGGCCTTTTCTGCTCTCCAAAGTGCCTCCTAAAAGACAGAGACAGGGAGTAACCTGGTGATATTTGCCTCCTCTCTGCCCAGTGCCATCCATAAAGTTCCCCTCCCGGCTCCCAGGACGTCCTGAATTTGCTCTCTCTGTGACACTGCCATGTAAAGTTAGAATCACACTTCTTGATGGACTTCTGCACAATGTTAGTCGATGCACCAACAAACACATTTGGGAAGTGTGAAACTAAACAAAATGAGATGGGTGTCTTTCTTGCAAGACTTACCAGAACCTTTACTTTTTAAAAAAATTTTCCTTCTTAATTTTATTATTTTTGGCTGTGCTGGGTCTTCATAGCTACACACAGTCTTTTTCTAGTCGCGATGCTCAGGTTTCTCATTGCAGAGACTTCTCTTTTTGCAAAGCGCAGGCTCAAGGGTGCAAGGACGTCAGTACTTGTGGCACCCAGGGTTAGTTGCTCCACAGCATGTGGGATCTTCCCAGACCAGGGATCGAACCCATGTCCCCTGAATTGGCAAGTAGATTCTTAATCACTGGACCACCAGAGAAGTCCAGGACCTTTACTAGTCTAATGTGACGTTTGAACCCCTGAGAGCTAGCACTCATGCAATGAGACCAAACTTCTCTGATCAGGGAATCTCATTTCCTTGGAGCCTCTCCTTTGATTGGCATTCCACAAAAACTCATTTGGAAATGTGCTGTGATTGTGGTGGAGACACCACCTCCCCAGTGCACCGTCTGGAGCATAGTAGATGCTCAGTAAGCTTGTACTGAGAATTGGCTCTGGACAGCCCATGATTTCAGCCCGCCACACATGAGACAGCCCCTTTATATGACCAGTGCTGTCCCCACAAGGTCAAGAAACACCAGCTTGGAGCCTGGTCTTCCCCGGGCACCAGGCAGTGGACTTCCGGGTGCTCACAGCAGGTGGAAAAAAGGTGCTGATGACAACGTGGGGAGAGAGTGGCAGGATGGGAAGAAGCCCAAGGGGCTGTGAGAGCCCAGGCTCTGACATCGAGGTGGAAGACGTTAGCCAGGGGAGGAAAGGCAGGAAGAGCATTCTCGGCAGAAGGACGGGCGTGGCCGAGTGCAGAGAGCCAAGAAAGCATAGCATGTGTAGGAAAGAGGAAACGCATGTTTGCACGTCCAAGAGAGAAGCCTGCAAAGATGGGCAGTTAGGAGTGAAACTGAAAGACAGCCATGGGCCAGGTTCTGGAGCCTGGGCTCCACTCTGTGTGGAGGGGAGGGGCCGGGGGGCCCTTTTATTTTTGTTTATTTTTTAAAAATCTATTTATTTTTGGCTGTGCTGGGTCTTCCTTGTTGTGTGGGCTTTTCTCTAGTTGCGGCGAGCAGAGGTTATTCTCCCTTGCAGAGTGTAGGCTTCTCATTCCCGTGGCTTCTCTTATGATGGAGCACAGGCTCTAGGATGCTCAGGCTTCAGTAGTTGTGGCTCCAGGGCTCTAGAGCAGGATCAACAGTTGTGACACACAGGCTTAGCTGTTGTGCAGCGTGTGGGATCTTTCCAGATCGGGGATCGAACCCGTGTCTCCCGCATTGGCAGGCGCATTCTTTACCACTGAGCCACCAGGGAAGCCCCCCAGGAGGCCTTTTAGAATCAAATACACTGGTGAGCTGGCTGCTGATGCTGCAGTGCGCAGAAGGGGTTTATGGTGGAGCTCCACAGGGCACAAGAAGACTGGACGCGGGAGAGCAGTTCCAGGCTACTGCCATCGCTCTTGCAATAGCTCAGGACAGCTGTGAGGACCAAACCAGCTCGGCACTTCCGAAGTTGGAAACTGAGAGAAACTGATGGTTGGTTCTCCCCTGTCAAAGTCAACCGGGTTGCAGATTGGCTTCTCCAGGAAGCAGAGGCTGAGAAGGCGTTTGGTTTGCAGATGTTCACGGGAGATAATGGACTTTCCTGGTGGCTCAGCTGGTAAAGAATCCACCTGCAACATGGGAGACCTGGGTTCAATCCCTGGGTTGGGGAGATCCCCTGGAGAGGGGATAGGCTACCCACTCCAGTGTTCTGGCCTGGAGAATTCCATGGACTGTATAGTTTATGGGGTCACAAAGAGTCAGACACGACTGAGCAACTTTCGCTTTCACTGGAGATAATAACTGAGCTTGGAAAGGGTGGAGCAGGATGGAGCAGGAGAAGCATCAGGCCACAAGGCCACCTGGCAGGGGCTCTGCCAATCACAGGGGAACCCTGGAGCAAGGCTTGAGCATCACACGAGTCCCTGCTGGGCGGGGATGGCTGGGGCCTCATACCACCGCCATACTCGGTTGTGGGCTGGGACCACTATGAGAATAGCATCATTTGGGCTTCCAAGATGAGGTAGACGCCCGTGATGCTAAGAGCTAGAGGCTGTCAGCTAACCACCCTCCTCCAGCCCAGCAGCCCAGTCCTTTCCCAAAGGGGACCTCAGTGGTGCGTCTTCATGTCTGCCAGATAAGTCACACAAGCTACTCTTCCTCACTCGGTCAGGGGAACCATAAAAGAAGGGATGTGGGACAGTAGAAACAAGCTATTTTTATGAACACATATACATCAGGAATGTTGGATAGATACTTCAAAAGAAGAATGAAGGGGCTTCCTCAGTGGCTCAGTGGTAAAGAATCTGCCTGCCAATGCAGAAGATGCGGGTTCGATCCCTGGTCTAGGAGGATCCCACATGCTTTGGAGCAATTAAGCCCGGGTGCTACGACTACTGAGCCTGTGCTCTAGAGACCAGGGGTCACAGTTACTGAAGCCCAAACACCCGAGAGACCCTGCTCTGCAGGAAGAGAATCCACTGCAATGAGAAGCCCATGCAGTGCACCCAGAGAGTAGCCCCTGCTCGCAAGCCCCTGCTCGCTGCAACCAGAGAAAAGCCAGAGCAGCAACAGACCCAGCACAACCAAAAATAAGTAAGTAATTTTTAAAAATTAAAGGAAAAAATAATGAGATCAGAGCTTTTAAGTGGAAGAAGAACGTTTTTGCTCCAGGAAACTCTAAGAGCTAAACATTGAGTTTAACTGAGAGCTTCCTGGCAGCCAAAGTGAAAAGGGTGCGGTGGGGGGGAAGGTTCTCAAGTTCTCCTTATCTTATATGGGAAGCATGTATGTCAGGAAGGAGAGAGAAATATTTTCTTGCCCTGAAACTCTAGGCTTACTTTATCACATCAATACTGCATTTTTGAACTTTGAGAAATACTATGGTTTAGTGAATGCTGCAGAAACATTACCTTCTCAGCTGTTTCCTCCACTTATCTTTAATAAATGCTAGGGAAAGTATTAAATTACAGCTTACAAAAGAGACACTCTGAGGTGGTTTTTACTATACTTCTGGAAATAACACCTCAGAGCCTTCCTGGGCTTGCAGAATCTGGAGAGGTTTAACAACCATGTTTTGTTTTTTCCTACCTAAGAAGAGCAGTTTCACCTGGCCTGAGGCTCAGAACAATGTTTTTAGGGATAATGCCCACAGTGTTGGGAATGGACTGTCCCCAGGAGCCATCATGAGCCGCCTCCCCTGTAGGAGGATGAATACCTAAGTGCTGAATATTTAAATCTGCATTCTAAAGGCATCTCCCCTGATCTAATTATTGTGATCTCGGGGGTCTAATCAGACAGCCCAGCTTCATGCATATATCCATGGTGGTTTGCACTATTAAGGGCTTGATTAAAAAAAAAATGACAAGCTCACTGAGGCTGGAAATTTGCAGTGTTCAGCCTGGGAAAGCCTGAGTCACAGGGGTGAGCTTGAATCCTGGGAAGATTGGCTCTTTGAGAATATTTCAGTCCAGCTTTCTGGGTTTCACAGGGTTGTGTGGAAAGGGCCCTGGAGATCATTTAGTTCAATCCCCTTTCTGGGCATCCTGGTCAAGTGGCAATCTGACCTCTGTCTAGAGGCCGCCAGTGAGAATGAGCGCACGGTGCGGGTCAGACAGGAGGTGCTAAGTGCATGTCGTGGAGCCAGGGGTTTAGAATATGTTACATCACTCGGTCGTTACAGGAACCTTTTGAGGCATGGACACTGCTCATCTACCCAGTAGTAGAGATGGGATTTGAACCCTGGGCATGCTCGGCTTTGCAGTGGGGGCAATCAGGGAAGCCTGGTTCTCTAGGGGTTCTTCTCCTGGCCAACTTAGTGACCTTGAGCAGGTCACTGCACCTCTGTGGGCCTCCTGTTTTCCTCCTTTTGTGTATATATATTAGTTCAGGTCATTCGCTGAGTCATGTCCAACTCTTTGCAATCCCATGGACTGCAGCATGCCAGGCTTCCCTGAAGCACGCCAACTCCTGGAGTTTACTCATACTCATGTCCATTGAATCAGTGATGCCATCCAACCATCTCATCCTCTGTCATCCCCTTCTCCTCCTGCCTTCAATCTTTCCCAGCATCAGGGTCTTTGTCTGTGTGTGTGTGTGTGTGTGTGTGTGTGTGATTTATCTATTTGGCTGCTCCGGGTCTTCCTTGCAGCATGCAGAATCTTGCTGTTCATTGTCACATGTGAACGCTTAGTTGTGACACGTGGGATTCAGTTCCCTGACCAGGGATCCAACCTGGGACCCTTGCAGTGGCAGGACAGAGTCTTGGCCACTGGACCATCAGGGAGGTCCCTGTTTTCCTACTTTTAAACAAGGGCTTGGCACTCCATGGCCTCAAAGACCCCTGCCAGCTCCATCTCGATACACAACAATCTGGTGTGTCTGGGTGGTGGGACGGACCATCCCCGGGGAGCCCAACATCAGACACAGTGGACGTCCTGATAATCCCCACTGAAATCCGTGCTCCTCCCCATTGGCAGCCTTCCGGACATTCCTGGGCAAAGAGGACGTCTCCCGCGAGGTGGAGGAGGTCCTGGCGGAGAGCCGCGTGCAGAGGAACATCCGGCTGGTATCCGTGCTGGAGCTGCTCAGGAGTCCCTTCGTCTGCTGGCAGCTCATAACCGTGGTCATCTCCATGGGCTGCTACCAGCTCTGCGGCCTCAATGCGGTAAGCACCCCTGCACAGATGGAGGAACCGGAGGGAGGGGTGGGCGGAGGTGGATCAGGGCTTAGACCCTGGATGCCCTGGGTTCCAGCCCAGCTCTGGGCCACTGGGCAATCATGTAACCTGACCATCAGTTTCCACATCTGTAAAATGGGATGATGCAATATGGAGAGAAATAATCCATGTGAGGTGTTCACTGAAGCAGCTAGCTGAGAATTACCTCTGACTAAATGCTGCCTATCACTTTAATTACTTATCCCTAGAAACACTTAGAAGTCATGTGTCTTTTAAAAAAATATTTATTTTTTACTAGGCTGCGAGGTCTTACTTGCAGCAGTCACGATCTTTCCTTGCAGCATGCGGGTTTTTCTCTAGTTGTGGTTCGCAGTCTCCATGGGTTCCATAGTTGTCCCACAGCACGTGGGATCCTAGTTCCCCGCCCAGGGATGGAACTGGCATCCCTGCATTGAAAGGCAGATTCTTAACCACTGGACCACCAGAGAAGTGTCTAAAAGTCATATTTCTTAAGGAAGGTGTTAGGAAGTCACAAGTAAGCGACTTGACATTGAGATCATTTAAATAAAAGTACCCTTGGCTGGGCTGATGCTGGGAAAGATTGAAGGCAGGAGGAGAAGGGGACGACAGAGGATAAGATAGATGGATGGCTTCGCCGACTCAATGGACATGAGTTTGACCAAACTCCAGGAGATAGTGAAGGACAGGGAAGCCTGGTGTGCTGCAGTCCATGGGGTTGCAAAGAGTTGGACTTAGCGACTACTCAGCAGCAGCATTGGCTGGACTGGCTTCAATGCATGCTTTTGACCTGAGAAAATGTCAAGGCTTTAAAGAAAAGTTTCTTGAGGCCCGAGTTGATGTGGGCAGGTAAACCAGAGGAGGGGGTTCCTCTCTGGGGTACCCTAACCCACCAATGGACAAAGCCTCCCCTTCTCTCTTAGGGGCTCCAAAAGATAGAATTCAGAAATTTGAGGAGTAGGGAGGCAGACTTGGGATCATTATTGTTATGGCTGCTTCTGGAAAACAGTGGGTTGCCTCCAGGGTTAGTGAGTTCCCCGTTCGTGAAAGTGTGCAAGCCAGCTGGCCAGCCACTTGGCAGGAATACGTAGAGGAGATTCCTGCACTGAAGCAATCAGATTCCCTCTGAGGTCACTTACGTAGCTCAAGACAAGTGTGGCTGGGTCCAGAGGGCAGGAGAAGGGAGCTTCTGAAGAAGCCCAGATGAAAGAGTTGCCCTGTGTGTGTGAGCCTGGCATCTCAGAGTCAGCAGGGAGGGTGTTTGTGGGTGGGTAGGAGAGGCGACCTGAAAGGGGAGTGTTTCCAGTCGGGGAGGGAAATTAACAAGTACAATGCTCAGCCTCATTTCTCTTGTTTCTCTTGTATTTCTTGTTGGAACTATCAGGATGAAATACAATCATCTTGGTGCTTATTTGCTTACCCTTGGTCTAGTTGTGTCAGCAGAAGGAGAGGGCACCTGGGTTAACTTGCTTGACCTTGACCTAGTCCTATTGTTGCCTCCTCTGGATAAGACCAAGGTCGTGCTAGCTATTGTTCAGTCACCAAGTTGTGTCTGACTCTTTGTGACCCCATGTATTGCAGCACGCCAGGCTTCCCTGCCCCTCACCATCTCCCAGAGCTTGCCCAAATTCATGTCCATCGAGTCGGTGATGCCATCCAATCATCTCATCTCCATTGTCCCCTTCTTCTCCTGGCTTTAATCTTTCCCAGNTGCTTTCCAACTCTTTTCTCTTCTTTTGTTTTAAAATGTATTTATTTACTTTTGGTCGTGCTAGTTCTTACGGTGCTCTTCGTGGGCTTTCTCTAATTGTAGAGAGTGGAGGGGGGCTACTCTAGTTGCGGTCTTCTCGTTGAAGTAGCTTCTCTTGTGGAGCACAGGCTCTAGGCACACAGGCTTCAGCAGTTGTGGGACGTGGACTCAGTAATTGTGGTTCATGGGCTCTAGAGCACAGGTTCACCAGTCGTGGTGCACCGCCTTAGTTGCTCCGACAACATGAAATCTTTCCAGACCAGGGATCATACTCGTGTCGCTTGTATCGGCAGGCGGATTCTTATCCACCATGCCACCAGGGAAGTCCTCCGTCTTATCATTGTAAGAACAGTTAGCATGACATTTATCCTCTTCACAAACATTTAAGTGCACCATATGACATTGTTAACCATGGGCATCATATTGTACAGATTTTTAGAACTTGTTCATCTTGCTTAACTGAAACTTTATACCTATTCATTAATGACACTGAGTTTCCCCCACTCCCAGCCCCTGGCAACCACCCCAGTTCGACTCCGTGCTTCAGAGTATACCTGTGTATGTCACCGCCCGGGTCTCTAGGTCATCCCTAGGGAGTCAAGGGGACAAGTCCTACTTCATTCTTACATGAAGTGAAGTGAAGTGAAAGTCGCTCAGTCGTATCCACCTCTTTGCAACTCCATGGACTATACAGTCCATGAAATTCTCCAGGCCAGAATACTGGAGTGGGTAGCCTATCCCTTCTCAGCAAATCTTTCTGACCCAAGAATCAAACCAGGGTCTCCTGCATTGCAGGGGGATTCTTTGCCAACTGAGCTATCAGGAGACCCTCATTCTTACATACCAAAGGACATATGCCGGTGAGCAGCAAATTCCAGCCTCAGAGCCCACTGTTCTGTGCCCCAGTCCAAGCTCCCTCCCTGCACCTGCTACCTTTTACCCCCAAATAATTCACAAGATCAAAGGAGAGAGCTAGCTAACACAGATGAAAGCCTTTAAATGCACTTTAAGACTTGCTCTGTCCCCTTAGTTTTACCAGAAATTATGTGAGGGGATCATAAAGAATGCTGAGTGCTGAAGAATTAATGCTTTTGAACTGTGGTGCTGGAGGACACTCTTAAGAGTCTGTTGGACTGCAAGAAGATCTAACCAGTCAGTCCTAAAGGAAATCAATCCTGAATATTCATTGGAAAGACTGATGCTGAAGCTGAAGCTCCAGTACTTTGGCTACCTGATGCAAAGAGATGACTCGTTGAGAAAGACCCTGATGCTGGGAAAGATTGAGGGCAGGAGAAGAAGGGGCGACAGAAGAGAAGATGGTTAGGTAACATCACCTATTCAATGGACATGAGTTTGAGCAAACTTCAGGGGATAGTTGAGGACAGAGGAGCCTGGCACACTACAGTCTGTGGCGTCTCAGAGAGTTGGACACAACTTAATGACTGAACAACAACAATGAATGTGGGAGGACACCGTCTATATGTTAAGACAGTCATAAATACTGCCAGGCATCTCCATTCATCACTTTATTCTGGACCCAAATGTCCTGCAGGGTAGGTGGCTCCATCCCCATTTTCTAAATGAAGAAGCTGAGGCTTGCAGAGGGTCAAGGACTTGCTCACGGTCATGGTGGGTGACACCTGTGCTGTCAGATGCACATGTCCTGGCACCAGGGCTCTGCCAGATTCCCCAGCGCATCTCTGAGAACATATACCTTGCACTGAACCAGTCTTTCTCAGCCTCAGCACTGTGCACATTTGGGACTGGAAAATTCCTTGTCGTGGACGTGTACACTCTAGGACGTTTTGCAGCTCACCAGACCTCTACTCACTAGGTGGCAGTCCATACAACAAACATGTCTCCAGACGTGGCCAAACGTCCCCTGGGGACAAAAATCGCCCCCAGTCGAGAACCACTGTCCTAAACAAACATTACATATTGTTCAGTACTTTTTTTCTTTTGGCTGAAGAGTCGATGAATGGTTTTCACACTCTTTAGAAATCAAGTGAAAGTTGAACATAACATTTAGTTATTTCTCATTCTCTTTTCAGCGTCAGATTGTTTTTTTCCCCTCCTTCTCATGGTAACTTTCAAGTTCCCATCTCTAAAATTAGACCTGTCACTTAAAATTATTTTATGTAGCTGCCTTTCTCCAACAATTTGTCCTTTGCACAAAAAACAGACTTTTGTTTTTGGTTTTTGTGCAAATGATGAGTCTTTCTGATGCTGCTTCTTCCCCATAACCATCATTGAGAATGGAGACCCTTCCCAGGGTCCATGGGTCTCCAGCAGTCCATGACACATGAGAGGCAGCTGAGTGTCATGTGAGGAAAGGAGTAGGAAGTAAGAACAGGGCTAGGGAGGGTGCAGTTTCTACCAAGTCCTTGGGCTGAAAATTTGACAGAATTACCAAACCTGAGACAAGAAAGCCATATTCTTGAACCTTCTGGAATCTTCTAGAATGTCAAGAATGACAGTGAACTCTCATCTACCTTAGGTTACCCTTCCTTCTTTTGAATTTATCCCTTCTTCAACAGAGGAGGCCAATCATACCAACTCCTCCAGTCCTCAGTTTCCTCTTATGGATAATGGAGATGTAGATCCTTTTTTTTTTTTTTGCACAGTTACCATGAGGATTGCATGAAATCATGTGTGTGTGTGTTAGTTGCTCAGTCATGTCCAACTCTTCCCCATGGACTGTAGCCTCTGTCCATGGAATTCTGCAGGCAAGAATACTGGAGTGGGTTGCCATTCCCTTCTCCAGGGATCCTCCAGACCCAGGGACTGAATCCAGATCTCCCGCACTGCAAGCAGATTTTTTATCATCTGAGCCACCAGGGAAGCCCGGTGAAATTATGGACGGGGACTATCTCTGATGGTAACTGCTGGGCCTCTGTGAGATCTCCCTTCCTCTTAGCTGGTATCAGCAAGACTGTTCCTGGCAACGTTTTCTTCTCTCTCAATGCCTCACACTTTTAAACTTTGCTGCTTCTGACATGCACCGTAGTTGAGAAGCAAGACACCCAAGCTTGTTAGAAATAAACGTAAAACAAGAATGGGGAGGCTCAGAGCGCAGGCTGGTAGGAAGCCACGTGGGTCTGGTGACTTTCATTCTAGAAGCTCAGAGGCCTTTTACTGCCAGCATATTCGTCCACTCAGTGGGGGCCCAAGCATCACAGCATTCCTGGGGAGCTGGTGTGCCCCTTGAACTCTTTACTTG